TTGTTTAATATTGATTTTATACTCAAATAAATACACTTTAATTTGATGTATGAAATAGTGATCTGAGTTAACCATGATTAAAGTTATTACAATTAAAAAATGCCAAACTTTATGGTTTCCATCTTTTTTATTGTGAAAAATAATAAATATTGTTGACCAATACTGTATATTATTAGACTCTTATTATTAGACTCTAGTATATTAAAAAGGTTGGAGGTTATTATTTAATATTATACAATACTCTGTACATATTAAATAAGATATAATTTAATAATATAAAATAATATAATTTCTTACAGTATAATCATGATCGGAATTTATGTCCATTTAAAAATAGTAATATTTAAACAAAACAAAATTTAAGAAAAAATGAAATAAAAAAATATTCAAAAATTCAAAAAAGTTATATTTTGCATTTGTAATAAGAAAATAGCACTTTCGCGCATATCTGTAACGTAATGTTATTTTCAAGCGAATAAATTGACCAAGTATTTTCAATATTTAATTTAATTAATAATAAAAGTACATTTTATAAGATGTCTTTATAAAACAATAAATTATTTAAAATTAACTCTTTATATAAAAGTGAAAACAATATTCTAAACACAAAAAAATAACATAAATTATTGCATAAATTGAATTAAAAAGATTGAATTAATCGGATCTAAAATCACATAAAAGTTTGATTTAAAGAATCTGCATATCATTTATCAATTATTACTTGTACTGTATATAAGTTTATATTATCTCATATTTATAATCGATTATAATTATTGAAACCATTCAATCGATTGTCAAGAATTAGATTAAAAATGTTGTCCACGTTTTGATCGTCTGTTCACATGTCTTAATGAACTTTACTTTTAGACCGATTCGTGTTAAACACTTTAATCCTCTGCCTATTCATGTGATTCATCATAAAATATAGCGCTATAACGACAATTCAAGTCATATTAAAATTAATTTAATACAAATTCAATTAAAAAGTCATTCAAATTTATAAATACCGGGGAAAAAGCCGAACAACAAGTAAAGTCTAATAATAGTTGGCATATGAAGTGAAAAGTTGAGATCGTTTGGCAAACCAATAGAGAATCGTTTACTTTCTTCCAAATAAGTGATGTTATTATACAAAATGACACCTTTTTGAGAGCAAAACACAATTATTGATTTTGTAATAAATAAATAAATGACTGAATTGGCAGACCTTCGCAGAGGAAACCCAAGGGGTAGAGCAGAATCCAAGCCGTGTAGCGAATGGTTGTTAGAAATCCAATGTTCACATTAAACACATGAAGCATATAATACGGATATCTACGCAAACATAATGTTTATATAGTTTCAAATATTATTCAATAAATTTTCAATATTAATACCGAATCATTTCAGAGATGGTGTACACAAAGAACAGGTATATAACCCATGGATTTGCGTGAATTTTTGGCTCAGAATCAACCATAAAGAAGATCAAAAAGACTCGACCGAACAGTTGAATGGAAGGCATTAAAGCGCTTCCAGATGTGTATCCCATTAACGGGTGAAGAATTTCCAAAATTTTCATTAAATGCAAAAATTTCATAACTTTGCCGACCAATAGGTAAACGCCTTCAGTCGACTCTAATTGCCAAATATTATTATACAA